CTCAACTGTACAGACTATGCTCTCTGATTAAAAATCAATTTTCTTCTTTAAATATTGAAAAAGTTGATCATGAGAAGTTATCTCTCTGAAGAGAAAAGCTTAAATCTCTTATAGACTTGTAAATAAGTGAACTACCTAAAGAGAAAGAATATGAACAGCATTTGAAGAGAATTTCTACAATCAATATAAAAGACTCTATTCTGATTTATTCAGATGACTCAAAAAATGAGAATTTGAATAGATTAGACACAGACATTGCTTATACTGAAGATAATATCAATTTTATCTCAGATTTCTGAAATTTAGGCTGTGAATCTGAAGTCTTTGATGCTGAACTATTTGCAATAGTGAAAGCTTTCAAACTCATTGAAATAAAATCTTATAAAAGAGAAAATAGTTTGAAAGAGATATGAATATTCTCTGATAGTCAAGCAGCTTTAAAAAGACTTAGAAATAGTCAGATTTATAATAGTCAAATGAATCTTGAACTGATCTTAAACTCTGTTTTGAAAATTCAAAAGAGAAGAATATCAAAGCTGATGATTCATCTGCACTGGGTTCCTGCTCATATGAATATTCATGATAATGAATTGGCTGATTCAGCTGTAAAAAAGGGTGCAGAATTAAGCAGATCTATTCAAAAAATTATGTCCTGGTTTTTTATAATGAGAAAAATAAAAGAATCTTGTTTAGACAAGTGAAATGAAAGCTGGCAGAAACAAAAGAAGAGTATACATTATTCAAGATTTGAAACAAAACCCAAGTGAAAATCTTGTTCAATTAAATGTAAAAAGAAAATATTCTCATCTATAATACAGCTGAAACTAGAACATGACTATTTCAAATCTTATATACAAAGATTTGATGATAGATTTGATTCAATCGAATGCTCATTCTGCAATGCAAATGAGAATTCTGAGTATATTATAATGTACTGTGCATTATACAATAGTCTCAGAGTCAGATTGAAAGAGAAGTATGATCTAAATCAATTAAATATAAGATTCTTATTCTCAACTGAGACAGGAATTAAATACTTAATAGACTTTCTATCAGAAACTCAAGCAGCTATAAGAAAATGGCTGAATTCAGAAATATCTGAATATGAAGAAGAGAAAATTAATCAGATATAGTCTGTTAAAACAGCTATATACTATCTTTTAATAATTTATTTTATTACAGTCTCTCATTATTTTACTTTACTTTTTTCTTTCTATTCTTTTCTATCTATCTATTTAATATGTCTATCCTTAAGACTGTGTTCTCTTTTCTTTTGTCATGTCAAATGGTTTCAAAGTATCAGAAGATGTTAAAATACTGCAATTTGTAAACAGTTTTTGTATTCTAGGCTGGAATTTTCTGATTTTGCATATCTGAAATTGATGAATGTATAATAGTTAACTTTATAATATAGGAAAAACCCTGAGAACTTTTAGTTCTCAGGTAGATGTCATAGTCTCTGACTGCATACATCTATAATTGAAGAATAATAATAATAATAATACACTATCTCATATTGAATGAAGAGCTTTCAACATCTTTCTGTTTACAGATCTTCATTCATGATCTTACACCTGAGTTGAGAGTGAAATGAAAATTCTTAATCTCACAATCAGACACAGTGAAAGAAGTATACAATATTCTCATTGTATGGAAATAAGCAAGTCAATTATGATAGAAAATACTGCAATCAAGTATGCCTCAGTAGAGAATGAGTAATCAGACTTCTATGATACAAGTCACATATTCAGATGTGATAAATCCAGATTTGAATATCATCACTAAAGTGCTGAATTCCCTGAAAAAGAAATCCTCTTAATAGAAATCGTGATGTCACAAGCATCAAGCTTGCTTCAACTGTGAATGTTAAAATCATGATACAAAAGATTGCACACAGCATGTGTAGTCAAGAGAAATAAGAGAGTCAAAAAACTAGCAGAATCAGTGAGTGTAAAGACACTCACTGATATTCTATGAAAAGTCTTCAAAGTGAAACAGATGTCTGTGTTAGATAACTCTCTGAATTCTGCAAATATCAAGAGAAAGCAGGCTCTCAAATGAGGTGCAGATGAGAATGATGAAGCAGACACTCATCTCAATGTCTTAAGACCTGAAATGTTAATGTATAAAGAGCACTTGAATAAGAATTGAGAGATGGCTGCAAAAGTGTTAGCAGACACAGAAGCTTCTATACAATATATTAATAATTATATAATCTGAAGACTGAAAGAGATTCACTGAGTGAAGAATTTCTGATATATAAGATTGTCTGATAACTGATATTTAATATCATCAGTAAGAGTAAGAGTTCTCTTGCACTTTGAAGAATGATCTTATTATATTTGAGTGTGAGAGCTGCAGAACATGAAATACAATCTTATTCTCAGACTCAATTAATTTCAAAGATTCAATCTGCAGATTCAATGATGTATGTATCATATGTGATTAATTAATAAGAAGAAAACAGTTCATACAATTCTATCAACTGATATGAGAAGAACATTTCACATCTCTGATATAGAAGAGTTAAATCTGCTTACACATTAATAAGCAAACAGAATGATTTACAAGATCTCATCTGAAAGCATTCTGTATGTTATACAGAATCTAGAAGTGAAGAAAACTAAGATAAAGAATATGTAAGAGAATAAGTGTATGAAGAAGCTTCTGAAGAAGTATGAAAAGATCTTCTGAACAGATCTTTCACTGAAATTGCTGCTGAAACAAGGATTCATATATGAGATTAACATGAGAGACATGAAATCAGTCAATCAAAATATGTATTCCCTGTTATAAACATATCTTGAAGAATAGAAGTATCAGATCACAGACCTTCTAGAATATGATCTCATATAATTCTTATCAAGTGTGTGAGACTTCTCAGTTCTATTTGTGAAAAAGATAGATGAAGAGTGACAGATAGATATCAATTATCACACAGTTAACAAGCTTATGATTAAGAATGAATATTCACTGTCACAGATTCAACAATAGTTGAATACAGTTAAAAATATCTGATATCTATCAAAGATTGATCTTCTCTCAGAATACTGACAGATCTGTCTAAGTGAACTGTCAGTTCTATGAACTGCATTTAATACACAATGAGAGAAGTTTGAATTCCTGATAATATCATTCAGTTTGATAAATGTATCTGTTATCTTTCAAATAATAATGAATACAATTCTTTATAAACAGAATGAAATCTCATGTCTTGTATATCTCAATAATATTCTAGTCTTTTCAAACTCATATAATAAATATCTGAAGCATCTCAATGAAGTGCTTATATCTCTGACAGATATAAGTTCTATATCAAATCAATAAAAGTATGTGTTTGAAATAGAAGAGTAAAGTCATATAATTTTTAGTTTTTTTTTGTGTGTGTATATTTTTATTTTATGAGAAATTGGTATATCATAGTGAATTTATTCTTTATGTGA